AAAAAAAAAACAAGTATCTTCTTGAAGTCCCTCAAATTAAGGTAAAGAATAAGAACAAATCATTCTGGAAGAACGCAAAGGAAAATAGCTTTAGATACTTAAGTGACAATTGAATTTATTCTCATAATTGTTTTAATAGCTTTTGTATAATCTTCATCGCTATTATGAGATATAAAATGTATTTATCAAATCTGTAATCATTATGCCAAAAAATCTGAATTACTGTAATATTTTGTATATTGTTAAAACTGTAACTTTAATTGTAAAAAAAAAATTTAAAATAAAAAAAGACTCTCTTTCTCCTCTCTCCTCTCTCCTCTCTCTCTTAACTCTTCTCTCTCTCTCTCTCTCTCTCTCTCTCTCTATCTTTCTCTCTCTCTGTGTGTGTGTGTTGGAAGGATTGAGGAGGAAGATTGTTCTGTTTTGGGCAATTGTGAAATTATAGCATAAGTTTGCCACTCTGTTGTATCAATGCTGTTAAATACCTGCTTTTAAAGCCTGAAATTGTTTAGTGGAAAAAGTACTTTCTAAATGGAAACACAAAAGCATTCAATTTGAAACATTGCCAGAAAACCCGGGTTCATGATTCTACTGTAGATGTGCCCTCCCACTCTCATCACTGAGCCAATGTATTCTCTGTCTTTATTCTTCTCTGTTAAGACTCCCTCCAATGCAGCTCTGCTTAGCCTGCCATTTGAACATGTCTAATACATAAGGATGTCAAATAACTCAAAGGCAAAAACAAAATGAAAACTAAAAAGAGAGACATGACCAGTCAATGCCACTCCTGTGTATATTTCCAAAAGATAAGAAATAGTTTGTTGAGAGGGCGCCCACACTCCCGTGTTTACTGCTCACAACAGCCAAGAAATGGAAACTATAGTGGTCTTCAATTGATGAGTGAACAAAGAAAGTGAACTATGCATACATACTATTCAGCCATGAAAAACTATGACATCCTGTCATTTGTGACAATGTGGATAGAACTAAAGATCGTTAAGTAAGAAAAACCAAGTATAAAAAGTAAGTATCACACTGATGTGGAACCTATGATCATTGAGCTCATAGAAACTGAGGCTTGAATGGTGGCTGCCAGAGCCTGGGGAGTGTGGAGGAGAGGCGGGATGGAGAGCTTGATTACTGAGCACTGAGTTATAGTTAGCGAGAAGCAAGAATTTCTGATGTCTATTATACAGTGAGGTGACTACAGATAATACATGTATGTTTACCAAAGCTCCAAGGAAGGATTTTCCATGTCTTCACATTGAAGAAATGATAAATATTTGAGTCACTAGATCAGTTAAACCTGATTCAAACATGATATATATAGACATGTATCGAAACATTACATGGTACCCCATTAAAGTATATAATGTTTGCATTTTTATATATCCAGTGGAATTTTAAATTCAAGAATAGGGTATGTCTAATCTGTTATGACAAATTCCTGTGTGTAGTTTTCACATGCTAATTTTCTCAAACCAGTACCCCCCCCCCAATTGGTCTTATTTTTTATTACAAATTCCTGTGTTTAATTTTTCCATGCTAATTTTTCCAAACCCGTTCCCCCCCCCCCAGTGTCTCGAAGAATGGAGGGAAGAGAACAGTGTTGGCTTTCACCTCTGGTTCCTTGTTGTTCTCTAGGACTCAGTATTTGAACAGTCTGCCCACAGGTCTCACATCTCATCACACCCTAAGCCCTGTGAGGAATGAGCCTCAGGATCTAACACCTGAGAGATATGCATCAGCACTGGCTCACCTGCCAGCTGTTCAGAAAGCTCAGGTGCTAGCCATGTGTTATCTCACCTGGGCCACCAAATAGTTCAAAGGAGGTGAATTTGTCTCACTAATCAGGAACACCTGGTCTTCAATCTGCCAAAGCAGCCAAAGAAAGGTGGCAAATGCTATGACGGGTGGTCACATTGGGTCTGCTCTAAAACCTGATGAGGCCGGTAAGGGTTGGCCTCAGTCTCTTTAGAGCTGTACCATCTTTCCTGTTCTTGCTCTAACTAACCCCTTCTTTCTCCAATATCCCTTTATGGGCTGTCTTCTACTCCCTCAGACTCGGTGGTCAAGATGGGGAATTGAATTCATCAATTTACCGGAATAATTTCTGGAATGCTTCTGGGTTCCTCTTCACCGAAGTTGAACTATGACACTGTCCAACAATTTTCTGTGGTGGTGTTTTTTCCTTCTCCCAACCTAAAGGCAATTTTATTTAGCATCCAATTTACCATTTCTTCTGTAATCTGACTCAACAACTTAATGATGCATAAAAATGACCCTTCCTTCCTCAAACCTTGATTTTTCAGAATTCTGGCCAGAATATTGACAACCACCTATGGAACTAACATCACCCAGTAAACAGCTTTGTCACATTCTGGGTTTCATTAGTATCAAAACCACTCCAGTTTGGAGGTCTAGTAATTCCTATTGGTTTTCAAATCATATTGCATCTGCCAAAACTCTGTGCAATGCAGTACACATTTCCTCTTCAAGCTCTCTTGACTTCTAAATGTCAAAAACCTATTAATTTCCCCTCATTCCTTCATTTGTCATAATAGTGGATTTTGGGTTCATATATCCAACAGTACTAAACATTTTACACAGGAGACATAAAAGGACTTGGGATAAATCTAGTCCATTGCGTGCTTATTCTATACTTCCCTAATTGACCTGTTTTTAAGGTGCTAAAATAGCTTTTCATTTTTTATTTCTCGAGACAGGAGTTCATGTATCCCAGGCTGACGTCTGTGAAGTTTCTTGGAAGCAAGAAATGCCCATTTCTCTGAATCTATAGTAGTTTAGCACCTCCAGGGGGCGCTCCCTCTCACAAAATGCGAGTGACTGACCACAGCGTCCCAATGGAATGGCCTCACTCTAGGGGTGCTGCCTTAGGGAGACCGTCCATCTGTAAGAAGCTCAGGTTAGATTTCAGTTATAGACATGATTTCAGTTCAAAATCTTTGAAGAATGTCTGCTGTGGGAATAAGTCAGTCCTTCCCAGAGTTCGAAAAACAAGGACCAGAAGAGGGAGCAGCGTGTACCAGACTCACCTGGATGATCCCTCAGCAGCCCAGCCAAGGGGGATGGAGTTTGCAAAAGTGCGCTACTAAAGGGTGCCGGAAAGACAGTCGGTATGGAATTAAACCAAACCTCTGTGTCTGTTTCTCCTGGGCAGAATTTATCCCCAACACCTGCTACAATAAGCTCATTTTAGGAGCCAACTTAGAGGGCTATTTGCTTTGAAAGACCCCACTATTCAGAAAGGAGCAGTAAAGATTGATAGGACTTGGGTGTTGAAGTGGAGATTGAAATTAACTGGATGTGTACAACAGGGTTTCCTGTTCTGCGGTCCAGACAGTCCTTGTGACCCTCTTGTCCTCTTAAGTGTGACCACAATTCCCTGGAGTGATGAATCTCCCAGTTAACTCAGAGTCTGCCTTGGCTCTTCTTCGACCTTTGGCATCTATTGACTAGGAGCCATTTGTTTTCCTAACTTTGCATTGGGAAAATGCAGTGACACAGTCAGACGTCAAGTATGTTTCTAAACTCTGAGGCTCTGTAGAGGCAACCACGTTCCAGGGGTGAATGTGAAGGCGGCTTCCAGTGCACAGAGGCCCTGGGCTGCTGATGGAGAGCTGACTGCGCGGTTCGACTGCCCCCCAAACCGGAGGAGTCCCGGGCTTAGCTCCGCCCCGCTCCAGCCTGGGTGGCTGCAAAGCCCCAGGTCCCACAGCTCCTGACCCAGTGTGCAGCAGGCGCGCGCGTGTCTCCGTGTGACTGCGGGTGTGTGTCCCTGTGTGTGAATGAGATGAAGTGGAGTCCTACGCCTAGTTGTTTCCTTCCGCGTGGTTTTGATCAGCAGTCCGACATTAGGGGATCATGGAAAAAAATTTCTGGCTAAAAGGATGAAAACTGAGTAAGTACACAGAACTTTGAACTTGAAAGGGAATGAAAGCAGATGCAAGCAGAACTCCGACAGTAGCTTGGTCTATTCTGACTGCTATTCCCTTTTTATGTTAAAAGCCGTGAGTGCTAACAGCAAAGTGGCAATTTAACACTGAATGAAGGGAAGCAGTTCAAAAACATAAAAGGCTGAAACCAGAACGTCCCTAAAACCGGAGGAAAAATGAGAAACTGCTAGGGCGACCTGGCCTGCGCCCAGCTGTGCAACAGGCGCTCGGGTTCAACCTACTGCGTCTTCCTGCTGCCTTCAGACTCCAGGTTCTTTGGAGTTTTCTCTTTTCTGGAAAAGCCGAGACAGAGCTGAACTCCAGGGTTTAAGAATGGAGTGGAAATAAGACTTTACCCGAAGCAACACTTGGCAGCCGGGGATGCACTCGGATAATTAGTTACGGCTGTTATTATTTTTGACATCTTTTTAAAAGCCCAGATCAGTCACTTTTTGCTGTCCTTCATGGAAAGGTTCACAAGAACCACCTCGGACTGCTGGGACCTATGACTCTTCGGTAGGACCCTTCGGAAAGTTCTCAAGTGGAGATGGGGCGTGCTTGATTCGAGTTGTGCAAAAACAAGACGGATGAATATTTTTTCATCCTGACAACACAGAGTTGTTATGACTTTTCCAACAACGTGGCCAGTGGCCAAGTGAAGCTAAACTGGTCATGGTCTGTCGCCCAGGGATCCTTTGTCGTCGGCGACTTTGCCCCCGACCCTTCTTGGTGGGCTTGGTGGTGGCAATCTGTCTGTTCTACCAAACTCTGACACTCAGAGGGACGAAGAAGCTCACAGCCCCGGTCCCTGGGTCTAATTCACACACACCCTCTCAAACTCAAGCTAGCAGATGCAAGGAAAGATACCCTCTGGACAAACGGTGCTTCCTTCTCTCCAGGAGTGCCCAGAAAATCAGGAAGGTAAGTCTGTGAGCCTGGCGGGAACAGTCTGCTGTCTGCCTCTGGGTCCTTTCCCCAAAACTAAAATTAACTTCCATGAGGTCTGAAAGGGATCCAGAGTATAAACAGCCCTGTGACCTGGTGACAGGGAGAAACGTTATGTAAGCTGCTTCTTAAATTTACTTCCAAAAGTTCCAGCCTTTATTTTAGTTTACCTTTCAGACTTTCACATTGTTTCAGCAAAATGAGGTAGTTTCCAAAATATTACAAATGTAAGAGATCTGAGGATTTATAGATCAAAAACAAAAATCAAAGTTTAAGAACCTGAGAAACTGTGTCTCTTTCCTTAAGGCAGGGGAATATGAATGCCCAAACTGTTTTAGACTCAAAGATTCTCCAGAATTTCACTTTATGATCTGTTAGATTAGTTCTGAATTGGTGGATGTGTTTCTAAGAGATGTATTTATTTCTGAAGCATTTAAAGGAATAGTATAAGTTTTTTAAAAAATTGACATGCTATTTTATTGTTCATAGAATAAGGGAAACAGAAGTCTAGTGTAGTGGACATACCTATTATCTAAGGACTCAGAAGGCAGAGGCAGGAGGATCACTCTAAGTTCAAGGCTAGCCTGATGTCCACGAAGAGTTTCAGGCTGCCAAGTCTGCATTTAAGCTTGGCATGGTGACTCATACCTGTAATCCCAGTGCTAGGGAGACTGAGGGAGGAGGGTCAGGAGTTGTAGGCCAGTTTAGGCTACTTAGCAAGCTTGAATCCAGCCTGGGCTACATTAGACCCTGTTTGACAAAAAAATAAACCAGCAACAGCAAAGAATTAGGGAAATAGAGCTCATTCTATACTTTTAGTGGACAGGTTAATTTTACTATTCTTACTTGTAAAGTATAGAGAAAAGCACAAATCCAGAAAACACATAGAATGTGTTTGAATATCATGTTTATGCGTACCAGTCAAATGCAGACCTTTAACTGTCAAGTGTGAAGTAGAAAAAAAAAAAAAAAGAAAAGAAAGAAGAAAGAAAGAAAATATAGAAAGCTGCATATAAGAAAATCAAAGCCACTGAATTCTATGATACTTCAAATACTACGCAGTAGGATCTAGGGATCTGTAGAAGCTATCTTCTCTCTACTTAAGGAGACTTAGGGGAGCTTCTGAGTCTGGTTATTACTTGGAGCAGAATTTCCTCTTGGATGCCAAAACACTTGCTGCCATCAGTACAGAGCTCTCCAGGTCCACAGCTATTTTGTTTTACAAACTATTTCATTTCAAACTCATAACTCAGGTAGGTAGGAAGGTAGGTACATAGCTAGTGAGTACAGTTGTCATTAACTTAATAGCAAGTTGAGTGCCCCTGAAAGATACTTAAGTGGTCTACATGACTGACAGTATATGTCTTGATGCACCCTGGTAGAAGTCAAATTGCTTGATAGCTACCACATAGATGCTTTAATAAAAGCAAGCTCAACGTTTGCTTGCTTTTATCTATGAGACCACAACTTGAAGAATTTATACAGGGCACAAAACATTAAGACGAAGAATATTTGAAGACTTTCAAGTGAGTGTCTTCATTCATTAGCAAGGATCACATTGATCCAGGAACAAAGGAAACAAGAGCAGGTAATATAAGCAGAATCACTTTTATAGGAAGCTCTGACTGAAAGTAGGAATCAGTCTTTAGATGCTATAAAAGTAATTGAAGAATACATAGTTTTTGTTACAGGAGTATAACTTTTCTTTGCTTTTTAATTCTTTTCTTGTACACATCCCATTTATGAGGATGGGACTGAATTTTAATGCTACTTTTTGTTAGTTTGCAAAAGTTTTAAAAATATGTGAGATACATATTTAAACACTTAAAATATTTTCTAGGAACTTTAGATGGATATGTTTCATTAATTAACTTATAGTCTGTTTTTCCTCCCTAGTTGACTTTTCAAGATTGGTGCCTTGTTTTTAATTTAAGCATATGTTAACCATTATTTGTAGGCTGTCACAGAAAATTCCATCTCAGCTTTAGAACTCCTGCTCCTCAGAAAACATCTGAAACCTATTGGCTGCTGGTATAAAAAAATTCACTCTAGAATTTTCTTCACCAAAAAAATGCCAAACACATGATGATTTTCATTTCCAAATGATGCAAAGACTTAAATATTTAAAACATATGCAAAATTCCAAATGGCAGTTCAGAAGCCCAGTGGACATGAAAACTGTATTTTCAAAACATTTGCCATATACCTCTGACTTGGGAAAGAAGGTCAAAAGAAGGTGTCATTAAGGCTTTAGTTAGAACCAGATACAAATAAGTTTTATTTGTCATATATCTTCCAAAAAGTAATCAATAATGTATTTCCATGATTATTCTTTCAGATATCTAAAATGAAGAGAGAAATCAATATATAGATCAATATATAGACCATTTCAAAAATAGCTACTTATGAAGTCTTTAATTGATTAACTGATGAGGCACTATATAGTTAGGGGTTCCTGAAGATGTAGAAATAGCTTTTGGACATTTTATTGAAGTAGTTTTGTTTCCACCTATAAATTTTGAAATTTATAGTATCGGCCAGCCAAATTATTTAACTTACCTGAATCCACTCATTTTTACTTTCATTGAATCCACTTCACTTATCTTCACATTAAATCCACTTATCTTTAAATACTTTTAAAAATATTTTATTTATTTATTTTTTATTTTATTGTATGAGTGTACTGCCGGCATGCATATAAAGGCACCCATGTTGTGCAATGCTCAGCGAGGTCAGAAGAGGGTAGTGGAACTGGAGTTACAGGTGGTTGTTAGTGGCCATGTGGGCTCTGGGAACTGAACCCAGGTCCTCTGCAAGAGCAGCCAGTGCTCTTAACTGATGAGCCATCTCCGTAGCCCCTACTTTAAATACTTCTAAAACAAATTTTATTTATTATTTTTATTTTATGTGTATGCATGTATTGTCTGAATGTAGGTAAGTGTACCCATGTTATGCAATACCCACAGAGGTCAGAAGAGGCCGTCGGATCCCTTGGGACTAGAGTTACAGACAGTTGTTAGAAGCCATGTGGGTGCTGGGATTTGAACCCGGGTCTTCTGCAAGAGCAACCAGTGTTCTTAACCACTGAGCCATCTCTCCACCCCCCACTTTAAATACTTTTAAAAGATATTTACAACTACTGACTTTGGCTGATAGTTCATAGATTTAAAAATGTATTTGGATGTGTAAACGATCTCTAAACCACAGAAAGTTCATACAAACTATTGCATATATTCGTCTATACAGATTTCTAGGGAAAAGTAATTGATTCTGACCAGTATTCAGAACTAGAAACATGCCAAGACCACTGAAAAATGTTTACCAACCAGTATGTTTCAATGTTTACTTAGGGCATATAAATTGGGTCTGAGCAAATAAACCTAAAAATAAAAATAAAAAAAGAAACCTCTCTTAATTAAATGTCCAAGTCAGGATATTAAAAAAGAGAAAAAAGTGGTTTGAATGAGTATAGTAATGTCTGCAGGGTTAAACACTGAGAAACTAGAGGATAGCAGAGTATTTCTCCAATCAAAGTTGTCCTTCATTGATGAATAAGCAGCAAACATTTTCCAGTCTTTGGGACTACAATTACTTTTTAAGAAAAGGCCTTTTGCACTTTATAAGCCTAGTAACAAGAGTCTGTACTAGTATGTATGTGAAGACAGTAACCTCACCTTCCACACCTTTACTATTAGGACTTGATTCCATGTTTGTTTGTTTTTTAACCTTTAAAAAAGATCTCCATTTCATTATTAAAATACACAGTTTCATACAGAAAAATTCATTTTCAATGCAATTGGCATTAAGATGTTCACACATGCGTTTCTAATAGCCTCTAATCTCTATGTATCTGATTATTACTAGTCACAGTTGGTTACACTGAGCTCCTTAGCATCTGATCATGGATATAAAGTCATCAGGTAGATTTCAATAGTAATTGTGTATTCTTACCCCTTCTTTCTTCAAATTTCACATCTACTAATTAATATTTTTTTAATTATTTATTTCAAAACCAAATGATTAAAAGAGGCATTTCATTACAACAGCATTGACATATTCAATAACAATTTTCTGAACTAAGATGCAACTTTTTCAAAACTGGCTGTAAATTTTTTAGGTTTACAGTTGAATTGTTACAGTTATACAATATCATACTCAGTA